GTTTAAGGCAGTGTGAGAAATTTTTCCCGGGATTTCCGATGCATCGACCGATAAAATTCGTTTTTCGTTTCGACAGAATTGGGATCGTTGTGAAACGTTGCGTCGAGCAACGTGTTGCGCGATTTCGGAAAAAAAAAAAAAAAAGAAAAAATTGTGCATAAACTGTGGACTCGCGTAGAAGAAAAAAAATAGAAACATCTCGTGTCCCTCATTCATTCATTCATTTTTGATGGCGGAAAGTTTGAAAGAAAGAAAAATATATAAATTATGATTACGATTTTTGTGAAATAAAAAAAAAAAAAGAAAAGAAAATATCCACGAAGGTAAATCGAATACGTAAAAATGTCTTTCTTGCGTTTGCAAAAGAGAAAATATTCGTTTATGTCGAAAAGTATTTTTTCTTTTTTCGTGCAGAGAAAAATATAGCAGAATCTCATTTTTAATTGCAAAAATTTATAATTCAACCAGAAGAAATTAATATCATTCTCGTAACAAGCAATTTTATCTTAATTTCCATAAAGAAATTTCTAGCGTAGATTCGAGGAGTGGATATCACGAGTAGAGAGGGAGGGGGAAATTAATTAATTAATTCGATTCATTAACCCTGGCTCGCTCGTTATAAGGGATGAACGTTGAATGGCCGCATATATCGCGGTCGAAAGAAGAATTTTCCGCGCTATTGCACCGACCCCCCTCCTCCCCCCTCGATTTCTTACAGTCATCCGACTGTTATACGAGATGGGAAAGGATCCAACTTCCGCCGTTTCCGTCCCTTCATCCCCTCTCTCCTCCATGTCCTTCCTCCACGTTTCAAAATAATTCTTTCGCGCGAGAATTTCCGATACGACGTCTCTAATTCTTCCTCCAGGAATTTATTTAACTTCGGCCGAACGTTTTCGTAACGAAATTACGTTTAATATCGATTCGAGGGCCGGATATTCCGTGAACTTTTCGTGGAAACGAAAAGTGATTTAATTCGAGCTTGAATTTTTGAAGGAATACGAAAAATACGGCAAAGAAAAATTCTCCTCGAATACGAGACGTGTCGAGCTAAGTTCTTCGATCCCCAATTTATTATTCCCACTTTTCTTCCCAATTTATCCATTCTCAAATTCCAGAATTGGAGGAAATCGTCGATCTCGAGATCTTAAATCCTCGATCTCCAATTATTATTCCCATGAATTGGAATTTCTTCCCAATTCATACATTCTCGAATTCGAAAATTCGAGAATCTTTGTCGAGAATTTCGAAAGTTTAATTCTTTTCGCTATGGGTTCGATTTTTTCACCGCAAAAATGTGCATAATAAAGAAAAATTGTCGGAGGCCGCGTTTAATGCCTCATTACAACCCGAGTGCTTTGATTATGTTTAATGAAAAAAAACTTTCTTCAAAACGGGGTATTTATAACTTGTAAATAAGCTCACATTTAATTACACTTTAGAATCAAGTAACATTACAGAATATAATAATATGATATAATTGTAACGATAACTGTTAGTAATGGTGAGAAACAAATGATAAAAATAAAATACCGATGCTACATTTTCAGAGAAAGATACTCGACGTACAATAATTCCAATCGCTTATATGTACAATACGCGGCATCTGACGCAGACCGACTATAGTATATAGTCGCCTCATAGTATATCAGTGGCACTTTACGCAAACCGACTGTAGTCGCCCGTAGTAACGAAACGGTTAAAATAATTTTTACGCGATTGAAAGCAATATACGTAATACTCTCAACATTCTCCAACATTCTTTCCAACGCATTCGCGGCCGAAAAGAAGATGCTTTTTGGATATCTAGTTGCCGAATCAAGAAAGGGAAAACAACAGGGAGGATCGAACAATAGGATCTATATATATATATATATATAAGAAAGAAAGAATAATCGCCACGAGGAAAGGAGGAGTATCCTC